CTAGATTCGAGTCTTGGCTCCACAATACACTGCTTATGTCACTCAGGTCCCACCAAGATAAAATCAGGGAAAATAAAACCCACCTTATTGATTGTGTTTCTGTACAGTCCACAATGAGTAGATCTAGATGTGGGGAATACTTGAGTTTGAAACTGCAATTTGGAGGTTCTGTTCTGGAGAGAAAAGACTGATGAAGTGAAGTAGGGGAACATCTTTGTCAATTTGACGGTCCAGTGGAAGTGGAAACTAGAAACTGGTGCTGGTTTTCCAGAGGCATCACATGTTTTCTGGCAGCACACAGCACACTAAGTTCTAGGTAAACTGTAGAATCAGTGTGTCCAGGCCATGGATTTTGCCACAGTTAAAAGACAGTAGGACAACAGGACAACAGGACATATAGAATAGAAAAGTTGAGAAAGGAGAGAAGTTAGGAAGATGAGTTGGAAGAGTATAAACACAGAGAATTATGGGTGGAGAGTACAAATAACAGAATAACAGAATCAGAGCATTTATCTTAGGACATAACTCAGTGGCATAGGGATTTTAGACACCAGGGATTCAAAGGGTTGTTCCACATATAAAGAACTAAAAAAAATCAGCCCCTTCCCCAAATTGAAAGACCCAATCCAAAAATGGGCATCTGACATGAATATACACCTCTCAGATGAAGAAATACAAATGGTAAATAAATACATGAAAAACTGTTCAACATCATTAATCATTCAAGAAATGCAAATTAAAACAACATGGAGATTTCATCTCACCCCAGGGAGAATGGCTATCATCAAGAAATCAACCAATAACAAATCTTGGAGGTGCTGTGGGGAAAAAGGAACCCTTCTCCACTGTTGGTGGGAATGTAGACTGTTGCAACCCCTGTGGAAATCAGTCTGGAGATTCCTCAGTAAAGTAAGACTACAGATACCATTCAACCTAGCTATTTCCTTTTTGGGTATTTTTCCAGAAGAACTACAAACATCATACCACAGCAATATATGTGCACCCATGTTTATGGCTGCTCAATTTGTAATAGCTACATCGGGGAAACAATCCAAATGCCCATCAACTGAGGAATCAATAAAAAAGATGTGGTATTTTTACATAACAGAATGTTAGCTATAAAGAAAGATAAACTTGAGGCTTTCATAGGCAAATGGATGCAACTAAAGTCCATATTCATAAGTGAAATAAATCAGATCCACACGTGTAAATACTGTATTGTCTCAATAGTGTAGGAACCTGAAAGAGTAAATAAAACCTGAAAGGTATAATACATATGGTGAAAG